GCAATAAATTAATTAATTGCTTGATAAATTAAAACGGTTAAAACGAGCGTAATAATTTTCAGTTGCACTATTTATTTTTCTTTTTTCTCTCTTTCTACCAGAAACTTAAGTCTCCAGTCAGGTGCTTTGGTCTCGATTAACTCCCCCCCACACACACATCACGCACTTTTTTTTTGGACAGTTTTTGTTTAGAGACTTCATTATTCGTTATATTGTTTATATTTTATACATTTTTTGATATTTAAAATGTCTTCCAGTTCCAGTGTTAAGTGTTCATTACAATTTAAAGATTATTGATCTTTGAAAATGTGTTCTTGCATTATTATGCCATTACATCATATAGCTTGAAACATGGTTTCAAAATGGCATTATCATTTATCCAGCCCATCCTTACCTGGGTTATGCTTGACCTCTGTGCTACCACAGCATCCCGACATGGAATTTTTAATAGTTTGTTTTCCCACAAATGCATTTCTCAAATCTAAAACTGATTTTGGGTCAGTTTAAGTTGTGACATGGGTATCAATGGCCTGGACCTGCTTGTCCAGTGCCTCCCACAAATGTTTGATTTTGATCAACACTTCATTGTTATACAGTTCAAACCATTTCTGATTCATTGACTGTGTGGTAAAATCCTTTTCTAATCAGGAGACCATAGCCATCAGGGAAGATCACTTGTACCCTAACTGGCATCCTGCTATGCAGCTCCGTATAGAACAAACTGATATTGTGTTCTGTCATCTATTCATCAGAACCAGCAAAGACTTTTTCCGAAGTTTGAACTACAGTAGGTAGTCTGTTGGATTGGACTACAAAAGCCAGCTTTCACAACCCTCATGCTTCCAGGATTAGTTGGAATATGGATTTTATTGCCCTCAGTTCATTGAGTTTCTAGTTTTTCATGCTCCTATCTTCATTCCAGCCTCTCCTTGCGTTTTCTCTCTTGTTCCTCTTCACCTCTCAATGTATCTTTGCAGTTCATCTGTACTTACCTGCCTGCCACCTATCATTTATTCCTTTTGCTTGAGGTTTCTCTCTACAACACATCATGACGCACACAACAATCCTGGCCACCTGTGACCCAGTCGTTGGTTCATGGACAACTGTTAAAAGATTCTGACCACTGCAGATAAGTTGCAGTTTCGGAGATACTTTGACCCAGTCATCCAGCCTTCAAAATTTGCTCAGTGTTTGTGAAAACACGTCTGACAATTTAATTCTACCAACATGTTTTAATATTGTCTTCCTCCCACAACCCAAAAACACGACTATTGGGTTGATTGGTTTCTCTAAATTTCTCTTCGGAGAGAGTCTGTTTTTCTATAGTTGTCGTGTCTCTTTGTTGCCTTGTGATGGGCTGCTGACTTCTTGCCAATGGTCGCTGAAGATGGTCACCGACAAAACTGTTAAGTAATTTGGTGTGGGTAGAGAGTCAATGGACCTTTTGCCGATGGAAGTGACCTCACAAGGTTTTAACATCAGTGCATTTATATAGAGTATCCAAACCAGGATTTCTTTTGTACTTTTGCCCTGAAGTTGTGACTTTTGCCAATCTTCTCAATCTTAAAACTGACTATAGATGTGTACAAATGGTCTTCAGTGGTTGACTAATCATAAAGCCAAAAACCATTGGCTGTGTTTGATGCATGTATAAAATATACCACTATTAAACAGACTGCAAGATGCATCACCTAGCAATCATTTTCAAACCTCTTTAATGCACTACCAGATTCACTAAGACATGGGTGATTAGAGCATTTCTCCATGTTAAATTTATTATGGCTAGTTTGAGATTCTATATTGGTTCTGTTCTACAGTAATTTTTTTAATTCTCAATTATTCGATCAGTTTCTGAACTGGCAGCCGCAGAGCAACTGGACTCATTTGTGGCACATGAGAATCTGTTGCCATGTGCACAAATGGTCATCCACATGCTTACAACAAAACCCAAATGTTATGATATCTGATGCAACATTTCTGCATGCTTTAGGTCTCTACAGTCCCACCTCATACATCATGGAGTTGTATATTTATCACCAGCAGTAAATGGCTTCTATGCACACCAGAGACCTGAATCTCCATTAGTAACTTAAAGTGGGTTCTCTACAAAGGCTACAGAAAATGACACAGAAAGCTGCATTGCATATATGGATGCACATACACACAGCTGTTCACATTGGCATGGTGGAGGAATTTAATTTGGCTAATCTAGTTGTTGTTCGGTGATTTATGGCTTGGGGAAACCGGCGGAGAGAGTTTACAGGTGCATCAGACTGGAACATCCAGCTATCTCATACTGATTAATGCATGTGTTGCCCGTGTGTGCGTGTGTGTTTCTGTTGTGTGTGGCATCAACCCTTGACTTTCTGGAGGTGTGGCAGTTGACATACATGCCTGTTATGTGAAACCTGCAATGAAGTGGAACAGATCTGCAGCAGTGAGTGTGTGCATTAAATCATCCCCCACATCCACATTATCTGTGTGATATTTATTTATTAATTTACTTATTTTTAAATCCACACTCTTGCTTACAGTACCCAGATCCGTCAGTTTTCAGTCACATGCCTCGGAAAAAACAAAGTCAGCGTGGTGCTGCACTGTAACGCTTTGATCATAAAACCATGGAAACGTAGATCAAACACGCAGTGTGAGGGAGAAGCAGCTGATATGTGGGCAATTACAGCTGCTGCTTCATTCCTGGTGCCAGCCACTGCACCACGAAGCCCATTACAGCTTCAAAATGTTGACATTTGAAGAGATTACTGAAACCACAGCAGTGGGATGTTTTTTCTCTCCAATGTAGGATAGGGCTGTTGTTGATTAAAATAAACCTCTATGGACCATTTGTCTCAAACTATTCTGAGATCTTAACAATGTTTCTAAAAAAGTGATTCTGAAGTGATTCAAAAGTGATTCTGACACAAGCCTTAGCTAGTTATTTTCTGTTACACGAAAATGTTTTTTTTCATTTAAACCTTTTTTTTTTTTAGCTATAAATAAACACTAAAGACAGAATAAGATGATTACACCAATTTATACAAACAGTATCTACCAAGCCAGCTAAAAGTTAATTAGCTAGCTGGCAAACCAGAAAGCTGTCTGGGAAGCTAGATGACTAATTATATCGATGTTTGACCCAATAATCCATAATAAAACATAATATGGTTAAATTATTGTAGTCTAATCTACCACAAATGGAATAGAAGTTATTTTTAATGGTAGTACCATCGTTATTTAATATAGTAAACATAAAACAAGCCAGCACTGTCTGCGCAAGCCATGTTGAGCCATATTTCTAGATTTTGTACTGCTAACCTAAAAATTAACGTTGGCAGTTTTTTTTTTCAGCTAAAATTTGTTTTCACTTATTTAAAACTTTAGCTTCAAATATATTTTCACCCAACTGAGCAGTTTTTTTTCTCTTGATGGGTATCTTAAAAAGATAACATTGTAAAAGGAGTATGGATTGTGAATATATTTGCATGTTATTTAAAAAAAATAATGTTGCTTGTGTTTGATCAACCAGAGAGGAAACACTACTCCACTATTGATCAGCCTCCACTGGCTGGCAGATACCCTGTTTGCAAAATTCCAAATTTATTTGTGGGGAAAAAAGATACAATTTTGATATTTTCTTCCATCATTAAAACCACTTTACATTTAGACAACCAAAAATAATGCCAGTCAAACCTAGACTAAAATATTCTGCTCTAAGTACTACAGACTCTTTGAAGCTCCGGTTATGATTTGTGATACTGATACTGATTTTATACCTAAAATCTCTGGTACTCTTGGGAGTCCAGTATTGTGTATCGTGTCATTAGCTGGATATGTTGTTGTGTCTTTAGTACGCAGCTCCACAATCAAAATAAAAATGTTTTAAAACCAATATTTAGAGTTTAAAGAGGTGAAAAGAGCCCATTCAACCTCCTAGGTAATAAATATTCCACCATCTTCCCTTTAACGTCGATATCAGATAATTACACGGTTACTCTTACATCTTTTCCTTGACGTTTTTGACGTGACATCGTAAGCGGTTCAATTACTTACCAGCACGTGCTCTGTGGTTAGCGCTCTGAACTGCTCTGACCCCTGCCTCAGCAGGCGTTACTCCCTGCTACGTCTGTCACACACTCGCTTTTTCATGCGCCTCAGCAAATGTGGCGCTGTCAGCGCACGGACTGCAGTTTACCAGAGCGACGCGGTAGATGCTTCTCTGGCAGAATCGCACCAACGTTTTAATCCGTTTGCTTTCGCTACGTTAGAAATAAAGCAAGGAGATAATTAAGTTACTGAACTTCGAAAAAAAAGAGTGAATACTTGCGGATTGTTATTTAAACACATGGTAAGTTGTTAAGCAACTTATTTTAGTTTTATGTAATTGAGCCATGATGTCTAAAATCACTTTGCGCATTTATGCAAATATGATTTAATCCACTTTGTCACCAATTTTACACACTACAGCGGACGGTTTGATCATCACGCTCCCATTCGTGATGAGGACCTATTCATTTCAACTTAATCTGATCCAGCTGTATAATTGTCGTCATGGAGATTAGTGCCAAGAGAGGAAGGAAGAAAGACGGAAGGAAGACTTGCATCCACACGCTTTATTAATAAATCCATCGCCAGGGACACACACACACACGCGTGTTTTGGTGTGTGACAGCAAACTCGTGGTGCTGATGGAACCAGAGATGCTGCTCTCTCCCTGTAAAACACACACACGCACACGCGTACACATACTAGCAGCAGCATCCAGCTGGAGTAAAACGCAAATGCAAATCAGGAGGTTTCCTGATTTGTATTTGCGTGGGCAGGAGAAAATGTGACAACTGAAAGTGTTTCTGCAGCTGCAGTTTCATCTTAATTTAAACTGTTTTCACAAAACACGTAAAAGTTGCATGAAAATCTGTGCGTCTGACTCGTTTGAACCAACTGAGCGCAGAGCAGACGGTGATGCTGCAGCTGTCAGGGAAGGGAAGGGAAAAGCGACCTACCTCTCCTGGTCTGTCTGATCTTTGGGCTCAGCATGGTTGTCATCGCTCTCCCCTCGGCATATTCTCGTACATCCACACACACACACACACACACACCCCACCCCTGCCTTGCCTCTTTCCTCTTCTTCTTCTCCTCTTCTGACCTTCTGCAGTGCGGCCGGCTGCTAGGGGGTTGGGTGAACCGTGGCGAGGGGAGGAGAATGGAAAGAAAACGGGGGTGGTGAGGGAAGGAAGGAGGAGGAACTACAGCTTTTTTTTTTTGCCCACACCCAGTGGTCCTCCGCCCCTCCCTGTTACATTATTCATAGCTTTACATCCCCGCCTGTGGGAAGTGAGGAAGGGTCCACCACCGACAAAATGTGCACACATGCAAAGGTCTAGATTTCTTTTCTATTCATTTGCCAGGTGTCTCCTCCCTTCCTCTCCATCTACCTCTGAACCCAAATCCATCCTCATCTTTAACCGTGCCTCGGTTTTGTTTTAGCCGGAGAACCTTCACTTCAGGACAAGAGCAAACGCCGGCTTAGACAATATGTCGTAATTAGAGCCTCCCGGCGTTCCTATGGGACGTCTCTGAACAACCGGGAGGGCAGAGGGAAAAAAATGGTCCCCTCCAGCAGCTTCCTGTCACCTTGAGCTGCAGCAGCCGGTAATTAACTGAAGAAACTGAGAGGAAGGGCTGAGCTTAGAAATAAGAGGAGCGTAGAGAAATCAATAATTTCACCAACTTTAATACGCTAAATTTTAGTTGAAAAGTAGTTTTTCAGTTAAATGCATACCATGTAGAGCAAATAAACACAAATTACGTGTTCTGGAGACTATATGTTTTAATATTTACAGACAACCAATACAAAAAGATCTTTAATACAGAATTGGTATAATATGTCCGACAGTCATGAGGAAGACTCCTCATGAGTTGATTGTTGCATCAGTCAAACATTTGGACATGTTATGGTTAAAGAAGTTGGTTGTTCGCTGAATGCTGCATTCAGTCTTACAGTTGGAAAGTTGAGTGGAAGGGAAACATGCAGTAAGTTTTTTCCAAGTAACTTGATAATTACAGCCTTGAGAGGTCTGTGAGCCAAAGCATATTTATGAGTTTGGGGAAGATTTATGAGGCGAGAGCTGCAGCAGGAGTCAAGAGTTTCAAGAGCCGCCAATAGAGTGGTAACCATGACATGGAGTACGACTGTCACATTCTTGGTGCTAAGCTGGAATAAGAGGCCTACTGAAAATGAAACATGGAAAGCATATTTAGATGGAATGGTAGAAAAGTGAAGCAGTTTCAAAAAGCAGACAAATACAAAAGCTGTTGTCGAGGCACTATGACAGACATCGGAAATGAGGAACAGGAGAATTGAACGGTGTGACTGTGATCGTTTGTCCATGTTGTCTTTGCCAGTATCGCCACGTCTTCTACTTGCTCAAGTCTAGCTAATTTGTCTTTGGAAGTAGCATATGGAGGTTGGGCTCATAGACTGCGGTATTTACAAATGTTGGAACTAGCTAGCTTAGAAACTCACCCATAACTTCTACCCCTGAAGTTTGTTGATTTGATCAAATCTGCCTAAATTCACAATACATTTACACCACTAAATCATAAATGGCGTTTCCCCTTAGACCAGAGCAGACTTTAAAGCGTAAAAAAGTCTAGATGCTTACAAGTTTTTCCGTAGATAGTAGGCTAGATGATGGCAGGGCCTTTTCTCAATGCTAACCAACAAAAAGCTCTTTAATACAGAATTGTTACAATGACCCATACTTTCTCCATAATGGAAGGTACTAAACTTGTTTGCGTATGAAGTATATGAACATTTCTCTTACCTTTATAAAAATGCGGTCGCTGCAAATCTGCAAATACATCAATGGATGCCAGTCATCATGATTGACAGCTGCTGCCCATCGCTGTCTTTGTCTGATTGTGCAGCTGACCAGTCATCACCCTATGACCATTTTTATCATGAAATAAACTCACAAATGACCTACCATCAGAGAGAAGTACAGGAGTGTTAATATTACATATATAATTGGACCAAGACAACTGCCTTGCGGCACTCCATGGTTTACAGATTGCTGTCTGAATAGCAGCCATTATCATAGACCAGTTATCTACAGAGATGGCTTCTAATGAACTGTAATTCAGATTATGATCAGTTTATAATCTGAAAAATTTATCTAAAGTCAGTTTTGCTTTATTTGAACATAAAATTGAGCAAAATGTGCATCTGTAATGGGGTTCCTTCAATTTTAAAAAAAAAAATCTCTTGCGGATAAGCAAAAAAAAAAATAAATATATAAATTTTTTTTTTTTTTTTTTGAGACATGTTTAGTATTTGACATCAGCCACAAAGAGTTAATTTATATTTGCTCAAGAATCACCATTGAAGCTTATTTCTGTTTGCTCTCAGGGTAATTTGATTCGGAGGATTTGCCCATGGTATCGCATAAAATGTTCCTTTCTTTGCTTGTTTGGAGGGTAATCTGTGAAATTTTTCCACTCTCTGCCATCTTCTTGAAGGAAACCCTGAAACATGCCGTTTGGCGCTGCTCCTGTCGCAGCTGCTTGGCCCTCCTCCGGCGTACAAAGGATAATGGCCTTAGTTTCACTGCAATCGAATCAGAGCTGGCCTCGCGTAAGCCACAGCTGCTCTTATTACAGAGTAAAGAGGGAGAAAGACCCAGAGGGGGAGCGTGTGCCCACACATTACATCCAACCATCTACACACACAACAAAGATAACAAGCTGGTAAAACGAAGCAGACACGGTCCAAAGCTAAATGGAGTCAAACTAACAGACGGGATCTCACAAACTGCAACAATAGAAACTAGAAGCTACAACGAAACGACTCCAAACGAACAATTTTAATTAAAAAGCCATTAAAGGCGGCGTTTGGTTTAAAACCGAGACTGGGTTACAGGCTGGGTGTGGTTCAGGGTCTGTCTCTCTCCAGATTGATCAGGTGTTATCAGACCCTGGAACGGTGGACAATGAAAGCAAGCAGAGGGAAGAGAACATTGTAAAACCCAAATAGCAAAAGCCAGCCCACAACCAGAAATTCTGTTTTTCTTTAGCCATAACCACATGGCTTTTTATAGACGAGCTTGTCTCAAAGTCGGGTCTTTTCTCTGCAGCTTGGAGTGATGGGAAGGGTTGGACGCAGGGTGGAGGTTTTCTGTTTTACTGTTGGGTTTCTTCCATCCGTCTTGTGTACATCGAGTTTTGTTCTAGTTGATGAACTGTTGTGCCATTGAGAGTTGCTGTATATGATCAACAAAGGTAAAGAAAATTTGAGTGCATTGAAACCAGATGTTTACATACGCCAAATAGACAAATAGGCTTCTTCTGTGAGCTACTGTTTGGCTTCATTAAATCTTATCTGTTACATGGTTCCAATAATCACACGTTTCACCAAAATAAATTTCAGGCCTCAACTACTTTCATCCAGGAGACTAGCGGCCATCTTTAAGTCTTTAAGTTCAGTAGTTTCTGAACTTAAACTTGTACTTTCTCTACTTCACAAATAACATTGCATTTGCAATTGTACAGAACATCATCTTTATGATTACAGAAACTGAGATTCACTCGCTTTGTTTTTTTTTCATTTGTTTGCATTTTGATTAGTTTAGATCTTGCCATATTCAGTTAATTTCTTTGTACCTTTTATTGTTACACGGATGTTTTCATTCCTTTATGTTTACCTTTGCATTTTAGTGTATTCTCATTAGTTCCAAGCCTTTCCTTTTTGGAGTTTGGATCCTTTTATATACTTCAGTATTCCGCTAATGTTGAAAAAACACAATTTCACAATTACAGTGTTTCTGTTGTATAAGGCACACAATTCAGATCACATGCAACTAATTTTGATGCATGCAACACTATAACTCATTAAATAACTTGACGCGCCATGATCCTCCAACTACTTCCTGTCATCATCTTTGTGGCTTGTGCCAGTGGTCACATCCGGTTGTTGATCATGTGACTAGTGTGATGCGAAAAGAGTGTTTCCATTGCAGTTTTGCAAAATAAACCAATTTCAGTACGGCCGCAAAACCACCTCATCCTCGTGCCAAAACATTTTATCAAAAAACTATTTTTTTGTGAAATTGTCATGTTTCCATTGAGTAAATGTATTTTCAAAATGTCAATTTCAAAATTGCACAATTACATGATCGTTGGAGACGCAGCTAATGAGTACAGTATAAATGGGTTAGCTAAGGCGGTCATAACATCTTCAGTAGTGACCAGGAGATCAAACTGCTGGTCCTCAAGTCAACAATTGCTTGTTTTTGGCTCAATAGTTTGCAACATTCATGTCTTAAAGAGTACCCAAGATGTGTACTTGTGGAATGAGGCTAGCTAGCGTAACTCTGCCCGTCTCGTATGTCTGTAATTGTGTTCCTCTGTCACCTGACATCTGAGGTCACATAATGTCGAGACTGATGTCGCTCAGAATGCTAATAAGAGCCTTGGAATCCACAATGTTTGGAAAACCTTTTAAAATATTGATACTGACCATGATTAATATTTCATAGTGGTGCTGGAGGGCTGTTCCAAAACACACACTGCTGGGTGGCTGCTGAAGGTTTGACTGTTGACTTAGCATTACTTATTGATCATTTCTGACCAAATGCATTAAAACTAAGCCGCCAGTGATTTCAGACAGGCTGCTGGGATCTTAAATAAACTTGTTTTATCTAGAAGCACATTTTTCAATGGTTTGGATGTAAATACCTTTACAGCATGTTGATTTGAGGTAAGGTCATTTTATTTATATAGCACATTTTCAGCAACAAGGCAATTCAAAGTGAGGCATTCTTTATTCCAAAACACATTTTTACTTCATTCTGTTGTCAATTAGAAAATCAAATATTACCAAGAGCCAGTTTGTAGATGTCACAAAAGTCTCAAAGTATTTGGATTAGTTAGGCTGCGCTGATCATATAAATTTGCAATTTGACATTTTGAAAATAAATTTCTTTAATGACAACCTGCCAATTAAAAGGAAAATGTTTTTATTAAAAAGTTATGGCTTTTATTTCGCAAAACTGTGGTGGAAAGACTTTTTGCATCATAATATATTTAAAGAAAACGCCGCAATTGCGAATATTTTTATGTATTTAAAAAAAAAAAAAAATTAAACATTAGCTGAATATTGACAGTTTTGCGCACACGTAATGAAATAACAGCTAGTGGTGAGCACACTCTTGCCAGTCATTTAATGGTTAATATATTGGTTAGCATTTTGCTGACTTTGAAAACGTTTAGCGCACTTAGCTTCACCTAAGTTGATTTTTCCAAATAAATTCAAAGGTGATCAATTACTTAGTGGTTTTGTAAACTTTAACATGAATAAATTTCAACATGTATGTTGAAGTTTTGGTTATCACCCCTTAAGAATTTTTTGAAGTAGTTGGATGTTTACATTCATGCTCTTATTTTGAAGTGGGTGAAGACTGTTTATGCAGGAGTTCCTTTCCTCTCCTCAGATATACATTGTTGCCCCTCATTTTGTCTCCTGGTGGGTATTAAGATGTTTGAATTTAGTGCATTAGCTTCTGCTAAATACCATGTTGGCTTAGTACTTTAGCTTTAGTATGTTTATGATTTGTCCTTTAGGGACAGTACAGCTAACTTTTTAGCTAACAGTGTGCATCACTGGTAGCTGATAATTTTGCCACTGAATAACTTCAGTTAGGATATAGCTTAATAAGATTTTAATGCTGATCAACTTGATCTCATCTCGCCCTTAAATAGAAGAAATTAAGTGCAGAAAGGAGAGAAGTAGGATTGTTTGAAGACTTTCAGGTATTTCCCCAGTGGTCGTCTCCCTCGTGTGCTGCCTGTCTGGTTCTCTGACCCTGGTTCTGCCCTCCATTACCTTCCCCCTGTTCTCTGTCACTGACAATTAGCAAAAGGGCCATGGCTTCATCCACTAATGACTCTGAGAGGAGCAGACAGGATTGCAGCCGTCCGTCTGCGGTTACTCCTCTCTGTCATTTCAAATGAATGTTGAGTCTTTGCAACTGTCTCCTTTTACATGACATCTGTTTTTTGTTTTTGTTTTGTTTTTTATTGTGAAAAATATATGAAACCTTGAAATGTACTTTCACATAAAAATGACCCTCTTCAAATATTTCAGATTTCCAGATTTACTTTCTTTACCTTCAGTTTTGTGAAAATGTATTTTCTACCAACAGGCGGTTTTTCATTTTTTGTTACTCATAAATATTTCAAAAATAATATCATACAAAGATAACCTGAGTAAATTACAAATGTTGTTTTCAAGTGACAAATTCATTTATTAAAGAAAAAATCTGATTTTTTTTTCTAGCCCTATGATGTCAAATCATATTGAAAATTACATTTTTTATGATTTAATTTAACTGATTATTTTGCTGCGTAGAATAAAGAAAATACATTAACAGAACCCATCTGACATGATGAAGTTGGCTAAAAATGGTTTCAAATTTAAGAAAAAACAAACAAACAAGGAAATTGACTTTTTGAGTGCAGAACATTTCCTTTTTCCTTGAAAATTTCTGAGATTAATCTAAAAATTTTGGAGTTCTTTTGGCAGAAATTTACTACCCCTTTTCTTCCCCCCGTATCTGCAATGGCACAAAAAGGCCATCATACTGTTCACATCGATCCAAAGTGAGAAATGAACAAAAAGAGAAAAAATAAAACTTGCGTTTCCTTTCAAATTGTAGAGTCAAAACAACATTCCTACATCAGTTGTTCTAAGAACCCAAAACAAAGCAGAAAAATAAAGACGCCTTCACTGTGATTGGATTTTTATTGCAAATAATCTAATAAGGTGGTAGTAACCAAAAGCGTCTGCAGCCTTTGCTGCCCTCTAGTGGATTACAACTATCGAAACATGCTGTGCTGCGTTTTAAATATCAAATATTTGATTTAAAATATTACAGAAAACCTATTTAAAAAAAAAAACTTTTATTTAAAAAAGTTAAGCTTATATATCTAGCTTCATTAAACATGCAGCGTAACATTTAAAGCGCTTATGTCTTTAAGTCTTTTGAGCCTTAGAAAATGTTCTTTAATCTCAGATGTGAGGCTTTGAGCATTATGACATACACAGTCGAGCCTCCATGAACACGGTGATCCACTGGTGTTTGGAAAGTCTTACAGAACAAAAAGATCTGTCCAAAGTAATGTGGCCCTAAGTAGATATGCAATTTTCTCTGCAGATTACTACCACAGATGTAGAATGCAGAAAATGCATCCTAAAGTTGGCTAAAAAGATTCCAAAAAATCTAAAGAAATGTAAGAACAGATTGGTCATCCTTTGCTGATGCAGCAAGGTATTGTGGGAAGTTTACCTGAAGCAGAGAAAAAGTGCTGAAGTCGTTTCCCCCCAGCCCCCCAAGGTCTCGAAAAGGTATTAAAATATATATGTCAGTAAATATCTAATTTCGGATATTGGCCCAAAGTTTCACGTCGGTTCATCCTTACATTTTATACCAGCTTAAATGTTAGTGTATAATATTACTATTTTTTTTTAAATCCTTAAATTTTCAATTAAATATTCTTCCAATATTTGATTATTTCTGAAAATCATTTTTATTCGTGTTGGCATAAAAACCAAATAGTTTATTAAATTGGTGTATATTAATTCATATTAGATGTGCTTTAACAAAAACCCAAAGCAACTCTCACCCAACCAGCATTACATGTATCCACTGTAAAAATGGATCGAGGATAAATAATGCTCTCACTCACTTCATTGTGAGTTGCGTGATTGCATTTTAAAAGTCAACCAACTCCTTTCCCCCACCCTGTCGGGCGGCTAGATGTCGTAGCCGTCCGTGCAGTTCAACTTCTCCCTTTCGATTTGAAAAGTCTCCAGGCAATTCCGACACAGAAGGCTCTCCTTGACCACGTGGAAACGGTCCGATTTCGACCACTTCTTGACTCCAGGCACCTCCGGGTACTTGATGGGGTTCCCTTCCAGGTTGACCTTTTCCAGCTTCTTCAGCTTGCCGATGCAGGTGGGCACAACGACGAAGTGGTTGTAGGACAGCCCAAGGTAGCGCAGCTCCTTCAGGTGGCCGATGGAGTTGGGCAGGGCTTTCAGCAGATTGAGTCCCAGGTTCAGGATGTGGAGATTGCTCAGCTTGCCGATCTCGATAGGGAGGCTCGTCAGACGGTTGTTGCACAGGTTCAAGACTGTCAGACCCGTAAGGCTTTTGATGGTTTGAGGGATTTCATCTAGCTGCAATCAGAGAAGCAACACAGTCATGGTCACACAGTGGAGCTGCCGCTTCCTAACCAGATGAGTCATAATCTGGAAATTGAGTAACTACGACGGCGTGGAAGGAGTAGATTTCTGCCAAAAAACTCCAGAAATTTTGAGATTAAGCTCATAAATTTTCTAGAAGAAAAGAGGAAATTTCTCAGTATGCAACTTTTATTAAGCTTTTAACATTTTAAAATGTTATTGTGACAGAATTAATATGCCAGATAATCTGGCATAAAAATAAAAGAGCTCCTCTGCCTCTGATCCCAGTACTAACTGCAGAATGGTAAATGGTACAAACACTTGTAACACAATATTTTATTTTCAGTCTTGAATAATATGGTTAAATATTTCAGAAAACATTTTTTTCTTAAAGTGAAGTCTACTTTAAATACATATGTTGTAATTCAACACTAACAGTTTAAGTTTAAATCCAGAAAACCACACTCACATAGTTGCTGTGCAGATCCAACACCGTGGCGTTGTCGAAGTGTTCTATGAAAGGTGGGAGCTTCTTCAGCAGGTTCCTGCTCAGATTCAGTTCACCAATGTCCATCACCCTTTGGACACAAGCAGGCACCGTGGTGAGGCCTTTGTAGCTGAGGTCCAGCCTCCGTCTGCCGTCCAGCGTCAGGTCCACGCATTTCTGAACCGCTTTCAGAGTAAGCGGCTTGGGCTTTTTACCGCCTTTCTTCTTCTTGGCCATACTGCTGCAGAACACGGTTAGCAGTCAGAAACAACGGACGGTTAAATATGATCTTTAGGCTTCATCTTGGTCCTCAGATGAATTTAGTTTAGTTCCATGACGACGCAGTTAAAAAAAATACCCAGCAAGAAGCTTTAGTATAAAACAGCAAATCTGGTCACTTACCAGGATTAATGAGGCTGGATCTTTGGACTGACGGCATCACAGACCATGAAAGAATTGTTCTTGTTAAAAACAGCCACAAGAAAGAGTCTGAATCCAAGCTGTTGGAGTGTCAACGCATTTCTCACTTGGCCACACAGACCGTTTGTTTTTATCCGTTCCCTAGCAACTTTTGTTTGATGTGGACGGACTTTAGAGCCCTGACTGTCCAACTTGTGCAGTAGAACTGGTTGTTCCCTTGGGGAACTAAATTTTTTATATTTTTAATTAAATTACAGAATCTGTTTCCATGACAACAGAATAACTCCATTTTAAAAACAAACTTTCGCACTGCTATCTACTGCCTGAAGACAGCAGTAAGGATTAACAAGTTTTATTGATGATTCCAATTAAAAATATTGTATAAAAACTGAACTTCACATTCCAGTGACTTTTCCCAAAAAAAATTTCAATATTATTCAAACAAAAGCTAACTTCAATCAAAACAAAAATAATTTTTGATCAAAATGTTTTAGAATTGTAATGAATTTTGTGATGGAATATTTCATTTTGGAAAAATGAAAACACGGCTTTGGGTAATATGACATAACACAGATGTACACCATATTTATCTAGTGAACACAAATGATGAGCAAGATGGAAAATTTCTTAAAAGCTTATGAAGTGCAGCAGAGACCAAGCCTCTAAAACGCATAGGACACTGAGGTGCGAGATGATTTCTGTTGCTTTAAAAAGTAGCACCTTTGTGCCAGCAGGGGGTGGTGTCAGCTTGACAATAAACTCCATCAAAGAAGCTTCAGAAAAACATACATAGTTATAATAGCAATACATGTAAAACGTTTTTTTATTTTTTTATGAGGAAAACATAAAAAAGTGGATAAACAGGGAACTTAAACAGCATTATCATTTAAAATGTTACAAAAAAGGAGAAATGGTTAAAACATTAGTCTTTGAATAAAAGTTGATTATGTTGCTCAAAGTCAAACAAAATGGTAAAATGAAAAAAGATGGCCGTCCAAGCCATAAATTGGAACTGTGATAGTGTTTCTAATAGAAAAAGCACAGCTGGCAGTCACACAGTGGAAAAAAATAAACTATAAAAAGCCATATTATTAGTGAGGATAAACAGAATACTACTGTTTACTTTGGCTCTGTAGATGACTTCAGAATACAACCACATGGGATTGTCGCTCATCCAACCTGGATGGCTCATGCCAAGTTTGTGCAACTCGGCTGCTGTATGTGAAAGTTGCATGCAGTTCACAGGGCTTGGCCATGCCCCCCTAAACATGCTCAAAAACTCAAGATTTTGATAACTTTTAATTCCCCATCCCTTAGGATTTGTTGTACGACCATAAGGGGGTAACATTTTATTCTTATGTTATGAACAAAACTTCTGAAAATGTGTGGTGTCTTTGGTTTGGAAAATCAGTCAATTTTAAAATTTTGCAGTGTGAACCAAGAATTCTCAAATGTATGCAGCATCTTGCTGGAAACACTAAAATATCTTGGCTTCCTCAAGAAGTACATCCTGCTCTTTTCTTGTAGACGGCTTCTCTGAGTCTCCAGTCCAGTCTGTTGTCCAGTTGAACCACAAGGTATTTATACATCTCCAACTAGGGATGCACCAATTGGCCGGTAGTTGTATGTGAAGTAAGCCGAGGTAAAGTACGACCTTTACCTCGGCAACGGTCTAAAAATCTGCCGCTGTCCTCTTCCGCTCTCCTGTGAGAGGTTTGACTGAAATACCGGCCCACCAGGTCATGTTATAGAATTAACAATAGTCACCCCAATGTTGCCAACTCAGTGACTTTCTTGCTATATTTAGCAACATTTCAGGCAAAAAAAATTGGTATCAGCCAAAATGGGATCCACAGGTCAGGCTTTTTAAAGATTGATAATCGGCGATCAACTGGAAAACTGCAGTCGGTGCACCCCTACCTCCGCTTCTTCTCCTGTGATGAAAGTAGGGTTTGACTCCCCTTTTTTTTTAATTTACAGTCATCTCCTTTGCTTTGCTCACATTCAAAATAAGATTATTGGCTGATGATGATGTTGGACTGGTCCTTTTCAAGCAGAGTGGGGAAGTGTTATGGAGTCGATATGTGTGATGCAGACAGACCTCTGCTGAGGAAATGCTGAAACTGAACCAGAAAGTACTTCAACTGATTTCGTTCAAAGGTGTGAACACTTCAGATTGTAGCTTTTTAAGTTTTATAACCCCAAACGTTTCCTTTTCTGTTTAATTATGCAGAATAAATGTCTCATTAAAGGCAAGGAATTATTTATTGTAGCCCTTTCTTACACCACAAAAAGCCACCATTTTAACAGCGGTGTGTACACTTTGGACAGACACTGTACTTTTCCTTCGTTATTATTCTTCAAACCTTCTAATTGAAAACTAGAGAAGCAGAGGTAAGTGACAGACTATAGGACATGTTTGGGAAAGCTGGCACCGCGGGGGCAGAGCCAGTCCTGTGTTTATTTAAAGGATTTCCTTTTCTCTAAACTGTGTGGCTGCTGTGTTGCCTTTGTTTTAGCGCGACAAAATCAAAGAGCTCCTTTTGGTTTTTTTGATATTTTTTCTTCACGTTTCACTCAGGCAAGCCTACTGTAGACTGGACGTAATGTTTGCCGGGGCTCTGAGAAAGCTTTTCTAAATGACTCTACAAGTCAAATTGTTGGGTTGGAGTTTTAAGTGCCGACAGGTTGACGCAATGCGAAAATCAAAGAGTCAGAATTATAAATGGAGTTAAGGAAAACCATTTATTATTTCTATTTGCTTAATGGGACAAAAAAATCTGTAATTTAAATTTCAGTTCCTTACATGCAGGATGGTCAGGGAGAAGAGTTCAGTTCTTGAGCTTCTTTGCTTTGTCATCCATAAACGACAACAAAAACAAGAACAAAACTCCTCAGTAGCTGCTTTTCCATTATAAATGTGGTTAAACTTGGTCAATATTCCATTAATTTTGAAGAAACACAATTTCAAAATTGTGAAATTGCATTTCTTATTTCCGTTAAATAAGAAATGTAATAAAAATCACGCATGAATAAGCCCGTTTTTGCAATATGTCATTAAAAATCATGCCTGGCCATCATCCTCCTACCACTTCCAGTCGTCTTCTTCGTCTTCTCCGCCTATAGTAATATCTGGTTGATGATCACATGACTCCTGTGATGCAGAAAGTGTTTCATTTGCTGTTTTGTAAAATACACTAGTTCTGATACAGCCAGAAAACCACCTCATCAAAAACTTCTGATGGAAAAACTTTTTTTTTTTTTTTTTTGCCGTGTTTCAATTAAGCAGATTTGTTTTCATAACTCCAGTTTGTGCAATTTTATGGTTGATGGAAGCACAGCTCAACTTTGTCTGATAATTAGATTTGTTTTGATGATCTGACACATTTAAGTAGTGGTAATAAAAGAAATTCACAAGAATGTTTTTACTCTTATAGAGTAAAAAGGAGTGCGTTTTCACAGGACTGTATGTTCTTTGCTGTCACAGAGATGAAAATATCTACAGTATTTCTCCTTTTTTCCTTCTCCTTAACTGGGCTCTTGGCAAAACAAGCACAGCTCTGCAAATTTACAGGCCAACTGACTTGGTGTGTATTTTTAAACTGGCTGGACTTGGAGGACAATGAAAAATGTTTGTGAACTCGTTAAGCCGGCACGGTCAGCTGGCTGCTTTGTCTTGGAAGCAGATTGGGTTTGGGGGGATTGGTGGCCCTCGTACTCAGACAGGAATCAGGAGGAAGAGACTCAGCCAAGACCGGCCGACTGCTGGACGGTGAGTCGGTGATTTTACTCCTCCGTCCTGTGATCTTCCCCTCCCAAGGCCTTTCATTTGATTATTGTTTTAGCTCCGAAGCCAGTGTAGCTATGGATTATCGTGACCACACAGGAACTGTTGGACATAGACAAAGTGTTTACTACATGCTGTGTTTTTATGGACCGGAAGGAGGACGTACACGAGACGCGCGCGCGCGCGCACACACACACACACACACACACACACACCCTCTTTGGATTTAACAATAGGTTGTGTCTTTCCTCTGACATCATTTGTATATCTTTAGGGGCTGCATGTTTTTATCCTCAGACAAGATTGACCTCCACCTCCAGGTTCTGACATGTTAATCATCTGTCAGATTAATATGGTTAGATATTGCTTAAAGTAGTGCTTTTCTTGCTTAATCTCACTCTAGTTTTTGCCATATTTATTTCCTTAAGATCTATCTTTTTAGTTTATTATCGTTTCCCTTCCTGAATATTTATTTTCTTAATTGCACGCAGACTGACGTAGCTAATGTCAGAACACCGAAAAAAGGAGACATGTAGAAGCGGAGGTCCTGCCTTCCAGCGTTTGTTTTGGTCATGTGTCATGGCGGCAGTGTGCGTGACCTTGGTGCTGCATTGACAAAGACTTCATGTGGCGGAAGAGAGGATGAGGACGGTCATGGTGCGCTCCGTTCTAGGTTTCTTGTTGCCCTTTAGAGTGTTTTCCATTGGTGTGTTGCCTTAATTATTATATTTAATGTTGCAGAAGTAGAATTTTGTTTCTGTTAAAGCAACTCAAATCCACTTTTTCCCTTTAATGTTGGTTTGGTTACACTTTCCTATTATTTCTTTCTCTGTATTACAACTAGCACTATAATACTCAAATAGCTACATGAGTATTTTACATTTTTATTGTTAAGTTTTATATTTTATCAAAATACTTATTTTTCTGCAAGAATACTGTAGGATTTTATTATTTTTTAAATATGAATTATTCTTTTTTGTGGGTGAACTTCACCCACAAAAAACATAAAACTATCAGGAATAAAATGACTTCTTAAAATATACATTTTAAAAAAAGAGTAATTTAAACGACTCTTTGAAGTGAACAGACTGAAGATTTGGTGGCGTCACTAATCAAACAAAAAAAACAGTGTGCTTACTTTTGATCACGTGTAGTTGCTATATATAATTTATTATAATTACTTAAGAATTGTATCACTTTTATGTTTTAGCAATATTTGAAAATGATCTATTTTATTTTGTATTAAGTGATACTGACTACTTTTCTCTCCAAAGTTGGGAGACATTTTACCTTCACCAACCAACATCAACATACATGAAACTATGAAAAAATTACCCAAAACACTTCTACAAAGTTTTACTTGAATTCCCCTTTATAGTCAATTTATTTCACTTCTTTTTACACGTTGGTCCAAGAAAAAAACAAAAACAAATAAAAAGGCACAAGCCTAAATGCAGGAATGTGGACCAGTGCCAAGGTCAGCAGAGGGCAGAGAGAGCGAAAAGCGAGAGGTGGCACAGAGGCACAGTTCACACATATGGTTCTGGTTAGCAGACGCCCATTATGGACAATGTGGTTTGGAAGGAACTTTACTTTTCACAGTCTAAAGGCATTTTTAAGACACTTCTACTATCCACCAAAATGTCACTTATTTTATACAGAGAGAATACAAACATTGGGAAAAACACTCGACAACAAGCTTTTTCCTACAAACACCCAGAGAACAGAGTGTCCCATTTGTTATGCACAGTCATCCAACTCTTGCTTTCTTAATTTTATTAACTGATGTTTTTGACATCAGTCTTTAGTTAGCCAGTACCGTCTATTCAGTGGCTTTATATGAAGTTAAACTGGTAAACAGTCAGATGCTGGTTCAGTTCACATTTGATGACAGGAAATGAGCCGAAACTTCCCTTTTGAGATAAACTCTTTTAAGAGCCTCAGTATGCAGGCAGCAGAGCTCCAGCTGTATGGATAAGCCCAGGGAAGATAGTGAAAGTCTTGAGGGGAGGGAAGGATCGGGTGCCTCTGCGTCTGGGTTTCAAGTTCACCGTTTAAAAATGCTCCCCCTTTTGTTTTTCTCATTCTTGAGTCCAAAAGATCACTGAGTGGAAAATAGAGAGGATCCAATTGTTTTCACACACACACAGCGATGGAAAGTGGAAAAACAAGAGTTGCACAGATTTGTAGGACATGTTGTGGCTTCTTGCTCTTGATCAGCAAAACCCCCTCACCGAGATTCAAATTAAGCAGAAATTTATGCCAAACAGAGAATTCAAAATTCATGTGCATTACCTCAACAATCAGGTGTGCTTTTTCTTGTATCCATTTTAGCGTAACCCCAGTCCTGTCTCTCATGAGTGTATAAATGTGTGTGTGCCGTGAACAGCCTGTTGAGTTGACATTGGCGCCAGATGAAAGTGCCTGCATGGTCTTGCATACTTGCCCATGAGGGAAAATGGGGGGCTAATTACTGGTTTGTATCAACTCTGTGGTCATAATAAATTGCTGGGGGACAAACAGAAACAGACTGAACCCAGATGCTTCGAAGGGGAATATTGCTGTGGACACATTAGAAGGAGAATGGATTAGTTCACAATCATGATGACATATGTCAGTAATTTTGTCACTCATTCAGAAATGTTTACATCATTCACTAGATGCATTTACATTACAAACATGCGCAAAATGTCAATATTCCGGTAATGTTAAAAAAAAACAATTCTGCAATTGTGTTGTTTCTGTTATGCAATTAAAAGTCACATGAACAACATGTTCAAGTTGTTCACGTGATGGGTCATCAAAAAACATGCTGCGTCATCATCCTCCCACTACTTCCTGCCATCTTCTTCTTGGTTTGTGCCAGTGGTAACATCCAGTTGTTGATCATGTGATTATTGTGTGATAAAACCTGACCCAGTCGATCATTTCCTTGCTCCGTGTCTCATGACTGTTGGCAAGAGTCGGAACATTGATGGGCCACTAAATCGTGAACTTATTTTTTCTTCAGCACAAGAAATTAACGTAACCACGTACAAGACTCCATAGCTTGCTCAATCCTTCAGAACAAGATGGCAAAATACTAGGAAGTCCTCTACTTGAAGAATGGACGGAACAATCCCTTTCCAATGGTCTCAAACTTAGAGGAAATGATTCTCATCTGAAACATCCAAGGAATCATCAGCTTGACACGGTGGAGGGGTTTTGGTAATCCAATGAGCATTCTTATCAAAGGCCTTGTCTTCTCATGGAATGGGTCAGAGTAATTTCAGTTCATTGGTTTTGATGAATCTGAGACCACATCCATAGGTGAGGCTCCCATAGGTTAAGGAGACTGGTTCATCTTAGTCCAGGCAGTGGAGACAAGGTGGTTGATGTGAGGGAAGACGCCCTGGGCCTGTTGATTCTAGGCTGTATAATCTGGATTTTGGGGATTTCAGATTGCCAGTTAATTTTATTGTAGCTTTTCAGAAGTATCTCCGAAGTGTTTCCTTTCGCAGATTCCAGTAAATTTAAAGTTCCTTAAGCTTAAGTCGTCTACCATGTTAGTTTGGGGTACACAGGACTTCACCACATTAAATACAAATACTCCAATATAAAACAAACGAAAGAAAGCAAAAAAATGTCACATTGTATGTTACTATCATATGAAGAAGATATACAAAATATCTACAAAACCACATGTAGAAGTTTGTCGTATCAAAAAAAAACAATACCCATTTATCTCCACCGCAAACCATTCTTTACAAAACAGCACAAAAACAGAGCATAAATAGTCAACAGTTTTTATACAAGGCACAGTTTTTTTAGTGGTTTGTGTTCCGTCTCAAAGCTGCTGCTCCTCAAACAGTATCTGAGCGTACACAGTCCCGCTCCGAGATGCTTTTGCCTCTGGGATCGGCTTCACCAGATCCAGCTCCGCATATGTCAGATTCTCCTCCACTATCCTGGGCTGGGGACGAGATGGCGGTGAGGCAAGGGCGGAGGAAAACATAATGACGGAGGAGAGGGGAGTCAGTGGTGGGACGAGGAAGCATGAGAAGAAGAAAAAATCCATTATAAAAAACTTAATTAGGCTAATTAAAGGGCTAAAGATGGTGTAGATTTACTAAGTGCATAACTTTTTTGGGTTGGGTAAATGTGAACATGCTCTCTGCAGCTGCCACCAACCAGGAGTTCTGGGTTTAAAAGCACTTTAAAACATATATAATCAAAAAACCACATCATCACACATTTTATGGGAAATTCTCACATTCATCTTCCACACCTTAAACTCCATGTTGGTCTCCTTTCATAGCATGTGGACTGTGTGTGACTGAATGTTTTACACCTAGATTGACCATATAAAGCTCTCCTCCAAACACGGTGGATAAAAAAAAATACTTGAAAACAAGATTAGGAACTGAAAGCACAAACTCACCAGAACTACTTTCCTTGGTTGAGGTTTTAATAGTTTGGGTTTGCGAGTTTTGTCTTCGATGGGGGCTGCAAGGACAAAATACAGATGAGTTCTGTGGAAAGCTGAATGTTCTGCTGTTGATCAATGGTGGACACACTTCCGCTAATTCACTGTTGTGCTAACAGCAAAGCTAATGTTTTGTTTTACGCACTTAGCTTCCTCAAATTTTTCATTTAGCGCTTAGCATTTTTGCTAACTTTAAAATCATTCAACGCACTTAGCTTCCCCTAAATTTTTCAGAGCTAATTCTGATGTACTTCCGTGTTGAGGTCGATATATTCTTCCAGACTTGTTTCTGTTCTTGTTGAAGCAGCACATGTTTGTGTTTACCTTTCGCTGGTATCTCTGGTGGTTTCTCCTCCTGGTAGTCCCTGCTCCTTTTCTTTCTGTATCTCCTCTCCTTCTTAGGAAGAGCAGGAGAAACACTGACTACGCTGGTGACCGTCTCTCCTGAGCTGGAGTGAAACCAAGTAAATAGCGTAGTTTAGTTTGTGTTTTTTTCAGTTGGTTTTCATTTTTAACAAGAGAGGAGTTCTGAAAGAAAGTGAAGTGTAAAAATAACAAAACAAAACAAAACAAGGAATCCTACCTGTTCTGAGGGCTTTTAACCAAGTGATACTGATCTGCAAAAATACAACAGATTTTAGTTTTAACATTAGCGGGAGAACGGGAAGAGAACTGAATAAATGTTATTTCCTTCTTAAAAGTACAACCAACAATGTATTACATTAAGAATTTATCTTATTGACTGCATAAATTAAGATGTAGAAGGAGAACCATACATGTTTTTTTTTTTATTTAGCTTTTTAACAAAGAAATGTGTAAAGATATGTTTCAAGGTAGAAATTTCTCTTTTGCAGAATGCTTCAAGCTCGGTTACATGGGACGGAGAACATCTGCAAATATTCACTTTAGAGATTATGAAGCAGGCAGGTGGAACTTTACTAATTAGGTGAATTCTGAAGGTAATTTTTTGCACTGCATTTTATCTTAGAGTATTGAAGTAAAAGGGGCTGAAAACATTTGGAAACCATGGATCCTTTTCCTTCCATTTCACAATATCTTATGTTGGTATATCACATTAAATAACCCACAAAATATGTAACAAAAAGAAGTGTTGCTGACCTTTTAGTCTCTGCTTCCTCTGTATGAATTGGCAGATTATGGTCACAGTGAACATGCACATGCACAGCAGACCCACAGAGCAGATCAGCACTGCACACAGGTACACATCTGGAACACACACACGCGTACACACACACACATTGGTTCAAAAAACATCATGTTCGTTAACTACAGGCAAAACAAAGTAAAAAACAAAATGATGCAGAGTTATTCTGAGCTGCTCCTTCAGACTGGGATATTTTCGCCTGCTCATGTTCTCCACAGACGTGGACACATCTGCTAAAAATACTACAACTCACCTTCAAACAAACTCCACAGACTTTCTTTGGTCTCGGTGGTCGGTAGAACATGCACTGCACAGAAAGAGGGAGAGAATAGAAACACGTGAGGTCTGTAGTCATCACTGTGGCTTTTTTCTTTCCTTTTTTTTTTTGGAGCTTGATTACACATAGGCTTGTGCTTTAAATAGAGCTAACTGTAGGAAGACATGGAGCCAAAGCTGACCTCCTCCTTTGTGTAAAAGCATCTAAATGTTTCACATTCATGTTTTATTTCACTTTTCAGATCTCCCCCCATCATGTCTGGATATGAGCATAAAAAACTGAATGCTTATACCTGATGTTGCATGTTTTTCATATTTTCTTTTGGCCGCTTGAATTTTAGGATGCCATTTTTTCAAGCTAGCTGCCATTTTTGAACTTTTGAAATCATTTATTTGAGTAAAATGTTACCCCTTTAAAGACTTGGGTGATCTTTATGTCACATATTTTCTATAGCCGTTAGAAATGTTTTGTTTGGCCCCTGACCAAGTCCAAGAACCATGCAAATTTTTCCAGCCTGCCGACCAATGAAAATCTTAAAGAAACATTTTAAGCTCGACACACATGTTTCTATCATTAACCACTCATTTTCAGCTATTTTTACTCACAGTCCTGGACACACCCATTCGTTCAACTTTGCTAAATACAGGAAGCATTTTTTCAGAAAGAGTGACCCATATCCAGTTGTTATTGCTAAGCCCCAGACAAAAGTAGTAAACAATCCATCCAGAAAAATTAGAAAACTTTTAATAACGCATTTGTGTGAATTGGTATATTTTCAGATCGATATATTCAGATACCGATCTGAATATACCAGAACGGTATATTCAGGGGTACTGTATAATGGGAGATCCCAATTCTTCAACAGTAGGTATATTCATTTCATTAAAATATTTTATTTTCTTTGATTTTAGGTAAAACAAATTCAGTATAAATTTACTTCAGGAATTTTGAGAAAAATGTTGAAACCAGTGAGACCTCACAAGAAACAAATCAAAATTTGAAACTCAATTACAACATTATCCTTAGTTCTATATGGTAAATTCAGACTTTGAATATCTCATCTTCAAATTCAACTCATAAGTAATAAAACTGCAAAAGGTATCAACAGCATACAATCCGACGGTTGAATGTTTGTTCCACAAGAAGGTCTTTCTCTATCTGATTGGCTGGCTATTATTGTTGAATCTGCTAACTTCAAGTCACTCCAAGTCTTATTTACACCCCGAACATTTCAAATAAAAAGCCACTGGTGATCCTCTTCTTCCTAATATGTTTCCCATGCTCGAAGTGAAGTTCCCTCCCTCCCCCCCTCGCTCCCCCTGCAAACACACACACACACACACTCGCTCATTTCTCCACCCCATCCAACCACAGGAGTCTTAATATGGCGGTACTGTTGTCGAGCTAGTGGCAGGAAGCTTGTGAAGTGACACCCACTAGCACATCTCGAAATACCCACAACCACCAGCAGCTGACGACGGGCTGGCTCGCCATCTCGCCTACTGGAGACTTTCTCACAGGCCAGCTGGCAGACTGACAAACCAAACCTCGTGGCCGACATGTTACCAAGTCGGTACGACATCATGAGGTGGACATGAGCAGGAAAAGTCCGTCTGGAGAAATATTAATGTCGTTTTCACAAGTGACATTGACGGCTCACATTATCCTCCCAACATCTACGGATTTCTTTTTTTTTTTTTTTTTTTTTGGTAAATTTTAATTTTTTGGATAAAAAAATTATAATTTTAAAGATAACTTCATTAAAAATTTATTTATTTCATTGTATTAAGGAAAACCACTCCCCTCTTTTTTGAGAATATCTGAAGTCCATTTTATGAATTTTATCAGTAATTGAAACATAGACTAATTAAACACAGATGGATATTTGAAAACCTTTAATTATGACAAATTTCTCATTGGTTAATAAAAACATGTTTAAAATTTATACCCACAGAAAATCTGTTTCTACAAACAGAAATGTGGGCTTAATGAAGTGTTAATACCTGCTTAAGGTATCTGCGTCTTAAAGTACTTCTCATCTGACATGAAACTCATTGGGATGTATATTCTAATTTATTAGAATAAATTCAATAAATTTATTGAATTTATTCTATAAATTCAATAGAATAATAGAATAAATTCAATAGAATTTATTTCGGTAAACTGGGAAACTGGAAAATTTACCAAACTAAATTTCCCAGTTCGGTACGCACCACGGTTTTAACGTTGTAATGGGTCAGTATGTTTACAACATGTTTAGATTCTTTACCATTTTCAATGGTAAGCAAAGTATTTTTCAAATTTCTAGAAATAATTTGAAGATGCTAAGTTTTAGAGCGTCAAAGAGTGTCTTGGATAGGACTGACTGGAGATTTAGTGTGGACTGGATAAAATGCTATAAATAAAAAGTGCCCATCAGTGATTATCCTTAAAGAATTGAAAACAAAGACTCTAAAGCGTGTCGTAATACAGTCATTCACACACCGATGGGGGTGAGGTATGTTGTAGCCACAGCTGTCCTGAGCCAGACTGACTGACGCTCTGACCACCAGCTGCAGGCAAGGCGGGTTACCCAACAACACAATGACTGAGATGGATGGAGCGGGGATTTGAGGACGAACAGGAGGAGCTCCTACCTCCCGAGCCTCCATCACCCTTATGTGATATAGAATATTTGACAATATGAAATGTTATCGCTTTGAAGTCGTTTTAGTACACCCAATGTTTGAGTGTTCCCTGGACTCACTGTGAAAGTCCAGCTGTTGGGGACTTCCCTCTTGAGAGGGAATCCTGCCCACATGTCTGCAGCTGTGTAGCATTTTAAGCTAGCTAAATGCTGCAGCAGGATTTGGACCTCCTCTAACACCACTGGTGTTTACATTCAGTTTCAAGCTGTTTCAGGTGAGTAATTCAGTTAAGTGTTAAAAAATGGTGACAGAGAAGGTTCTTTCTTTCTCCATTGTCACAGTAGCTGAAAAGAAAAAAATAACTTTAAGTAGCTGAGTTTAGTGATAGTTGGGAGTACACTCAGTTTGTTTTGGTGTTTAATAGCTCTTAGTTCTACATAAACATGAAGATAACGTAACTGTACGGTACACATGCCTGTAAAACCAAATGGGCTATTCTGAAAATTTCTCATACATATTCATACTATTACACCTTTAGTAGTTAGCACGCTATTATGTTTCTCTCACTGATTATTTTCTCCTAAATTGCAGCTAAGCTGGTAGAAATATCCATAATTCCTTCATAGTAAGTTATCTACAAACTAAATCAGGGTTACATTTTTGCCAGTGGTTCTCCGTGACTCAGTCAGCGCAGCTGCAGTGCGTGTCAGAGTAATGGCCGATCTCCTAAATCTGCAGTGCTTGTGTGCCTTGAAACTGTTTTCCTCTCATCTTGAAAAATATCTCTTTTTCAACAAATGGCTGACAAAGCCAAAAGGCCACAGTGGAGGGATTCTTTCACGTTCTGTTTGAATACAAAAGCCAGAGTTGTGTTCAGCTGCACTCTGTGTTTTAGACTTGTGGCTCCTTTCTGTGCGCCAACAAAGCCAGTAAACATCGGCACGCAGACATGAACAGGACTGCATAATGAACCTCTGTGATGGAATCATCACTGCTCCAATCTGCTGTACTATTGATGACTGTAAATGAATGAGAAGACAAACTGTTAACAAAGCCTTTACTACTCCACCCACTTACTTCCTGTTGTCAGTTTTGATGCATATCTAACATATTTATTGCTTTCCCATCTAATTTGCTTTTTAAGATGCCAGGTAAATTTGGACCCCTGAAACTTTTTTTAGAGGCCTGATGAGCACTTAAGGTAGTTTCACTTGTGGTGTTTTTCTCAGAGTTTTTGGAATTTTTACTGCTATATTAGGATTTTAGAGCATATACAACTTGACATAAATAACATTTGTATTTCATAACAGTTTTCCACTGAGGCTGAGGTCTTTCTTGAAGCCTAGTGTGAGCCTGTTTGATTTATTACTCTGTGTTTTGGGGGCTCATGTTTTGGGGCTCATTGTCCAACTGAAAGAGTTTGGAGATAGTCCTCCATTTTCACTATTCCACTCTCTGTCCATCACACCACTACCATTGGCAGCAAAACAATCCCACAAACTGGACAGTAACTTTGTTCCCATCCACTTTTCTTGCAAATTTTGAGCAAATTTCTAAAATGTTGCCAAAAAATGAGAAAACAGGAAGTAGAGGTCTGGCCTGTTTTCTAGTTTTGTGTTTCTGGTAAGGCACAGACCCACCAGAGGATGGGACAGTTCACAGCATTCGAACTTATTTGGCAAATGCATTTCCATCTCCCTTTTACACATTGACTCTTCCCACAAAAGACAAAAAACATGTCAGGGAAGTGTAAAAACTTTAATTTATTATTTAGAATTTTGCCATTTCCATCAACCTTTTCTAATGGCATACTTCAAAATTAAACAAATGTTGATTGAACTATAACAAACATATAAAAACTGATTTTGTAGGGGTTACCTTAAGCTACCTGAAAGGCTTGAAAACATGTGGACTATACTTAAAAGTGGGACCAAAACCAACCATTTATATGACTTTTATTAACTGTACTAAGCAGACGAGTCGAAATTGTGGCAGAAACTTGTAGATGATTAACTGGAGTGCTGTCAACACTCACCAAAACATTAGTTGGAGCGTATGACTATAATTATAAGTTTATAGATTTATTCCTGTGTGGCTAAGACAAAATCCACAGTGCATTAAAAGTTATGTGCTGTGCTATCTGGTTGTTCCACTCTCAAACACTAAAATACATTTTTAAAAGTTCAAAATTAATAAGACATACATGATTCTGATACTTTATCTAAACCTAAAACCATAACTGTTCAAAAGAGCAGAGAAATGTGTAAAGAAATCTCTAATATCTGTTTCTTATCCCAGGTGGAGGCTATTATCGAAGGCTTGAACTTCCCAGCAAACCTCCTGACCTCTTGATGAGCTGTTTATTATCGTAGTGAGCTATGTCGCTGGGGGTTCAGTGAATGTGCCTGATTGTAAAAACACCTGGTCACCTAATGTTCTCACACCATAAGAATCCAATTAGTTTGATGTCACACACATGTATGCACATCTAATCTCCAGTATTCTTGCGAGAGTCATCTAAAACATGAGCTATGTTGCTGGGGGTTAAAAGCCCCAGGGGAGCTGTTAAACTGCTGAATGTCTAGCTGAGTTCAGTGCTTTGCATAAATAATGGGATGAAATTTTCACCCCTGTTATACCACAGAGGAAAAAAAGATTTTTCAAACGTTGGTTTGCCAAAGTCACTGTAAGTCATTGTTTTACGATGAAGAAGAGCTTTTAAATATTAGATAATATGCAGATGACATTGCACTTCAAAATTGCAATCGTTACAATTTTGATCCCCAATCAAACAGAGTCGACCAAACTCAGGTGTGAAAATACCCTGTTAGATTGGCCAAACCTCTGGAAAGAATACAATTTGCTAAAACCGTAAACTCAACCAAAGAGATCTCACACTGTTTCTACTAGCCTTGCTGAAAAATCTCTTAACTTGAACAAAAAGGGGCTCGGAAAGTGGAGAGTGGAAATGAAGCCCACCAACTCTTCTTCCCGTTTTATCTGTAAGACTCCCAAAGAATGTGCAGCTCTCAGCAGCTTTTTAAAGGCTGTGGTTATGTTTTCGCATGAAATCTACGTATGGTACTCAGCTTGGACTAGCCTACAGAGAACACAGCCTCTTCGGTTTGCTTCCTATTGACACACATTGTGCTAATGGCTCTGGTGTCTAAATTGTTGGAGTCATGGAAATACAGTGGCGTAAGCATTTTTATTATTACTCAAACCATAATAGAGCAGTGCTTCCTTGGACTGAAATAACTTCCCACTTCCTTAACCACAGTGTGTCAGGACCCACACATAAGGCGGCTCGCCTGTGGGCTGTTCAAGCTTTACCTTTCTCCTTACAACCATCTCTGTTCTGTTTCTGCATTTTGAGTTTTCTTTTTCTGCTCAACTTTGAGAGAGAAACTCCACATTATTAAGGCCAATGGCAACAGCTCTTATGTGCATCTGCTGTGATCCATAGCCGCCTCAGCTGAATATAACAGCTAAGAAGTTCTGTCTGCATCCATAAAACATGTGGAGGATCTAGCAGCGGGTGAGAGTAAAACACTGGTAGACGTAAAGATTTGGGATGTTTACATTTTTAGGTTGTGAGGCATAACCCATCATAGTGACTCAATCCCTTAACCTCAGTAGAAAGCTTATTGAAATAGAGGTTTGCTTTGAAAAAGTCCAGCTCAGCAATAAATGTTTGTATGTCGTAGTTTTGCGAAACGCATATTTTCATACAGCTGAAAAACTACATCATCCTAGCGCAAAAACATTTTATCAAAAAAATTTGAGATTTTTCTGAATTTCCGTGTTTCCATTAAACTATTTTATTTTGGTAGATTCAAATCGCGCAATTGTATGGTTAATGGAAGTGCACATATACTCAAGTAAAAGTATATCCAATAACTTCACTTGGTTATAGGGACACTAATCCTCGTGGTTTGTTTTATGTGTTAATTTGTTTTATCATCAAGGACTATGGTTCCAACATCAGAGAAACTCCATAGGAAAAGTGTACATTTAGAGTCAAGTAGTGGTGTTCAAAGCATAAAATACTCAGTGGCCCTCAAATATAAATACCAGACTGTTGAAGAACTACATTTTAAAAATGAGTAGAGTTTTCTTCTGTTAAACAGCAGCTGGAGTTTTCAGCTTTTCTGAAACCACCAAAGATTTTGTTTAAACAACCTAAAATCATAGGTACGTGTCAGTAGCTTGGAATGTCGCTTTAGAAAATAAAACACGACTATACAATTACAGAGTAAAAAGAGGGATAGAGGATAATCTGAGGACCATTAGTCACATGTTTGAGGTGTGCCATGAGAACAATCTAGTTAATGCAGAGGCGGGACAAAGAGAAAATAAGTTATAGCACATTTTATTGCTTCAGGCCAAACATTACACATTGGAACAGAATGCAGAAGACCAAATTACTAGTATTACACACCTTTGGAGCGTCGTTGTTCTGTTTTGTTTCACCTATCCTCAGATAGAGCTGCGTCTGTCATAAAAGTCTGCTTTTTGCCTTCACCAGCATTTTATTAGTTAAGATGGTACCAAATTAACTATTTGTGAACAACTGAGCTGACTAAAAATATTGATATAGTTTTTCTTATAACTGGTAAATTTTTTTGTCTTTGTTATTAGGCCTATTTAGAGTACTGGGGCCATACTAAGAAAAATAAAGTAATGAGAATCAAGCCACAATATTATAATTTCCAAAGCAGCTATAGATTAGTTGGATCCAACCAACCAACAGGGAGTGGTGGGACAAGAGCAACAGTACATAGGGAGATATTTTTAAATTACTTGTTTTTGTCAGAATTAAAAGTTCAGCAAAAATATCTGAATTATAAAGACTACTGGAATTTAATGGCATAAATATTTGGTTGGCTTTGAGTTTTTTGTTTTAAGGAAGTTAAGCAAACCTACATGTTTGTTCCTGCACTTAAAAATAAAGAAAAATTGCTGATCCAGTCACACCATTAACAGTCATTTAGCAGCAAGAATACAGCACATGAAATATTTTAAAAGTGTCTCTGGAATGAAAAGAGATGTACAGCTGTGTATCATCAAGAATGAAAATAGACGATATGCAGCCGGATGATGCCTTCCAAGGATAAATATGCCTAAAGAAAAGGTCCAAGATCGAACCCCTGAGGTACTCCAAGGTCCGTCTTGGTTTAGGACAAGAGATTGCTAACAACCACACTGTAAGATCTGTTGTACAACTGGAAGTAAAACCTTAAGATCATACCAGAAAGGCCAACCCAACCCTAAACCTGAGGATTTACCAGAATCAGAGCAAATGATTTATTACTCTCAGTAATGCTATAACTGTACTGTGGTTTGCTCTAAAACCGAACTGGAATCTTAAAATGAGGTCAATCATTTTTAAAGACATAGAAAGGAATGAAAACTTGAACATAGGTCTATAGCTATCCAAGGGTCCAGAGACGTTTCTTTCAAAAACAGCTGTAAGCAGAGTTTTATAGGAACAGAATGAAGAATTAATTACAGCTGGACCTGTGCAAACTGACGGAGCTAAAGCATATTTTAAAACCCTTATAAGGCAAATGTCGATAATACGGAAAATGCCTCAATTTGTTAATTACCTCATTTGGAGTTTTCAGGAAAAGGATTGGAAAAGGTCCAAGTAAACGGCCTCAATAGGAGGCTCTACATCACAAGTGACGCATGATAAAACTTCAGAGTGAACGAATAGCATTCGATGGAAACACAAAGCACAAGGTTGAGGTGTAACTTGCAAAGGGACATTGGTCCAAATGTCCTGGACAACTTTCTCTAACATTTGGACCAATGGGTCTAAAAACCCAGGACAAATTCAAACATGTGAACCAATTTCTTGCTTTTGAAACTCAGTGGAGTTGTCATGTGAACATTCCCCCTGGGGTAAAGACTGACTCAAAAGCATTGTTAAAAGTGCAAAAGAAGAACTTTTTAATTTTTCTGGATCATCTTTGAGCCAGAAGATGATGCAGCGTGTTAAAGTCTCCATCCCACCGTGTTAAAGTCTCTCCTGCCAGTTCTTGGCATTGAAAAACCTCAGACACTTTGCTCATTTTCCAGGATCAGTTACTCAGCCTGAGCTGCAGCTTGGTGACATGCAGGATTCCTTTTATCTCTGGGCCTGCTCCTAACTGATGACATTTCCCCCTCTCAAATGAAAAGCAGAATCGTGCTTTTTGCTCCCTGGAATCACGGCCACACAAATTACATCACCTACTTGTGGTCAGAAACTGCAGCTTCTGAAGACGCAAAAGTTGGTTTGTGAAACAAATAGCTATTAAATTTGTGAGTTCTTTCTGCCACTCTTCAGGGTTGTGAGACATTTAATACAAAATCATATGATTCCAATTAATTCCCAAAATGAGGAAAAGAAAAGTCAAGGCCCCTTACCTCTGAGCTCTGTAGCGGCGGTGTAGTTGGTCGAGGCCTTCCAGCGGTCCTGGTGCTTCTTGAACTCCTGCACCCGGCACATGTAGAGTCCTCTGTCTTCCTCGGACACCCTCTGGACGAGCAGCTCGAAGATCTTCCCCTGCTTCACCACCGTCAGCTTGAACTTTGGCCAGGGGAAACTCTTGGTGTAGTTCCCATAGAAGCGAGCTTTCCGCATGTTGACCCGGGCGATCAGGAGTTCGTCCTCGGGTCGATCCGCGCCTGCCGGCAAGAAGGTCCATTTGACGACTGGTAGGGCTGTGTTTCGCCGTCTCTGGGAGATGACACAGGTGAGTGTGATGTTCTGACCCTCCTGGGCAACCGTGAAGGGCGACGGAGTGATTGTGGCGTTGATGGCCAAGCAGAAATCTGAGGACGAAGTTGCATAGTTGCATTTGAGTTACATCTGAGTACACTCTGAACCCATCCAATCACTGAATAGATGCTTAGAACAGATAAATGAGTGGATG